ATATATATATACATAGGGGTTATGTAGGTTTTTGTGGGGACATATTGGGTGCAGGCTTTGGGGTCCAGGGCTCAGGGTTATGGATATAGCGTGTGGGATTCCAGGTCCACGCTCCGCACTTGGGGTCATTTACAATGAATCATAAACCCTGAACCTAGACCCTAAGCACTTAACCTAAAACCTAAACCCTTAGTTCCTAAACCCTGGCGCCCAAGACCTAAACCCTAAATTCGCAACCCTGGGCCCTGAACCCTAAACCCTTCGGCGCAGGATCGAAGCTACACCCTTAAGTTCCAAGCGAGGCATCTTTTCAAAGAAGGATGGGATTCAAGGGTGCCGGATTTGGGCTTCAGGGTTATGGGTTTAGGGTTCAGGGATTAGGGTTTAGGGATTTGGATTTAGGGTTTGAGCTTCAGGGTTATAGGCTTAGCGTCTATGCTGTGCACTACATCAGGGCTAGATGGGGATCATGTCCAGGCTAATTCAGAATAAGCTCAATTCCCAATTTAAAGCCATTTTGGTACGCTTCCCCGAATACACCACCATTTAGGGTGAGGTCGGGTGAAATTGCCCGAAATTATTTCAGGTGTCAACATTACCCTCCCACAAACTGCCAAGCAAACTCCAATTAGCCCCGCTTAAATGGACGTTAGTCTTTCCGAGGGCCCTTTGGGTGAGCTTCCATGTAAGTTCTTGGTGATGATAAGCCCCTTTAGGGTTTAGGGTTTAGGGTTTAGGACCTTAAACCTTAAACTTTAAAGCCCTAAACCCTGAACCCTAAACCCATAAGCGTAAACCCTGTTGTTTGGGGCATGCTAAGCTAGCCCTCAACCTAAGACCCACAGACCTAAACCCTACGCCCTACATCCCGAACCGTAAACCCCTAAACCCCCTAAACCGCCTAAACCCCCTAAACCCCCTAAACCCCACCTAAACCACAAGCAGAAGTAGGTAAAGCAACAGCGCAAGGCCATTGTTCTACAAACTTTTGGGGCTCAGGTAGCCCAAACCTTCCAAAACGTGATGTGCGGCGAGCCTCCCCAGCCGCCCGGCATACCCTCTTAGGAACAATGGAAATGGAAACTAATATATTATAACACTAGGGCTATATAGGATATACGCAGGATTAGGGGTTTGGGGTTTGGGGTTTGAGGAAAGTTGACAGTTTGGGAAAAGTGCAGGGTTAACCCCAGGGATCCAAATAGCCCAATGTAGGTAATATTTACAGACTTTGGGGCCCAATGTAGGGATTATTTGTATACATGGATCCCTAGGGTTAAGGGTTTAAAGTTCGGAGGTGTAGGCTGCGGGATGCGAGCCGCCATGCAAGGAGACTCCAGGACCCAGGACCCTCCTTGTACCCTTAATTGGGGATATATGGTCCTTAATTGGGGATATATGGTCCTTAATTGAGGGTAGGAGGAGGGTCTAGGACTACACTCGCCCCTTGCCCAAGCAATCTATGGAGGGTCCGTTGCCACGTCGTGGGTCAGCTTGCTGCTCCAAGTCCTACAGAAGATCAGCCAAGTTGGTGATGCAGTGTTGGGAACCACCATGCTTCTTGGAGCTCTGGATCCATGTTTGGACCATGGCGAACATCGCGTCGCCCACGCCTTTCCCGTGTTTCTCAACGAACAATGAGAAACTTGTGCTTGAGCACATGTTCTTTCTCCGACGCCAAACCAACACAGGTGAAGTGCGGCCCACAGTGGAACCAAGCAGCTTGTTCATCAATCCTGTTGTGGCTCGCGATCGCCATGACTCCTGGGCCAGTGCCTCTAAGCAGCTCGAAGCCAAACGAGCCTCCGGATGAGTCTCCTACTCCTCTACTCACGTACTTTATCCGACAGAACTGTTACGTAAACTCCTGCTATCCCCGGGGAAACTTCATTGAGGGGAACCAGCTACTTCTGGTAGATGGTTCGATAAGTCCTGCGGCCCACAGTCGAACCAAGCATTGGCGGATATCTAGCTGAGCGTAACCCCTGAAGGCAAAGGTTCTTCAAACGACAATAAAAAGAACCTAAAATCGAAACGTCACACCATGTCCTTTATTGCAAAACAAACTGCTAAAGTTGACAAATCCTGTAAACCTGCAAGAGACCAACAGATCTTGAGATCAAGAAGCGGTGGCGGATGATCCAAGCGTATACCCAAACCCCTAAACCCTAAACCCTAAACCATAACCCTAAACCCCTCCGAACCTTTTCCTGTGCCCATTGCAAAAACTATGACTTGAGGTGCATTTGAGCTACAGCCAGTATTGCCTCGTATACTCAATCGACATAGGTTCCTTATTTGGGACTATATTGGGAACTATGCTAATCTACAAAAGGGACCCCTACGTCCACTCTTAGTGATTCCTTGTAAAGCCTAATATTGACACTAGCTCATATGGGAGTACGTCCGGCATAAACAACACTTGTAACCTGTGTTCAGGACTAGCCACACGTGCTTCAAGTCCCCAAGCTCAGGGTTTAGGCTTTAGGCAGAGCATGTAGCTAGTCAAAGCTTGAAGGCCACTGTAATTTCGGTGTTCTGTGAGCTGATAATGAGGCCGCTACTATACTTGAACGGTCCCAGCTAAGGCAACCTACGAAGTCCCCCCAAGTAGTGCACCCCCCACCCTGCAACAATTAGCGGCAGAATAGGAATATACGCCAGACGACCCAAAGATCATCACCGTTACCCCATATAATCCTTATTACGAGGTGCTGGGGGGGCATCTAAGCGATAAAATCTGGATTCTGTCTACTCCACACAACCACTACGGACATTTGAAAATGACACCGCATCGGATTTGTCTGGGAGGGTAGAACCCTAAACCCTGAACCCTAAACCCTAAACGCTTAACCATGATTAGGCGCTGAACTCTGATCTCCTGTCCTCAACCCTCAAACCTGTCACGCTGAACACGAACGCCTTCAACCCTTGGAAGAGTCAAACAAAGGAAGTCCCTACAGTTGAAGCGGATACAGGCCCAAAGGGTCCATGTACCCAATAATCAGGTACCTGGGTTTTGGGTCATAGTAATTATAGTATAGGTTTTGGGAGTATATAGATGCTTGGACCCTTAGGGAGGGGATGCAGGGGTTCCATACCGGTAGATGTAGGGTTTAGGGATTAGGGCCTCAGAGTGGGTATTTTAGATACTGCATGACCCCAAGTACTTTTTAGCCAAGGACTATGGTATTCTACTCTACTAAGATCATGAAATTTCTGTATCACCGTTCGAAATGCCTGGACGTCCCACACATCGTACTCGGCCGCTTTCCATGCGTTGGATCATTTAGGGGTCCGGGATGTGGCAGCTTCTTAATCCCCAACGGGTAAGCCAATAGTTCATCCCTGCATAGTCCCCATGTAGAATGACCCCGAACATCCCTAAAGGAGCGCCTTATAACCTGAAGCTTAGACCCTGGACCCGAAATCGTGTAGGATATGCTTGGAGCCATAGAGTCGATCCGGTTGCACGGCGTCTTCATTAGCCTGTATGTCAAGTGCTCCAGGGCCTCCTGGTTGCGTACACACCGCTTAGAGCTTTGGGTTCAGGATTTTAGGTGCATTGGGGTTGGCGGGTTTGGAGGCCTTTGGGTTTAGGACTCGATTATCCTGACAAGGGCCTCGCACAGACTCATTACTACCTGCAAGTTCAGTAGGGTCTCCAACAATGGGTAGGGTTAGGGTTTAGGGCTTAGGGATACAGAGTCTGTTGCGGCCGTTTAATTGTTCATATTTTCCGTAGCTCTGGGTTTCAGCATAAAAGAGGAATTTCAGGATGAAGGAGTTTAGTGACCGAGAAAACCCAAACCCTACACTCTATATATACTGCAAAACGTTGCTCCATAAGCCTGAATCCTGAAACCTAAGTTCTGAACCCTACTAAGCTCTAAGTCCTTAACCTTTAACCCTACACCGTTAACCCCAATCCTTAAGCCCTAAACCCTAAACCCTTAACCCCAAACCCTTAACCCTGAGACAGAAAAAAGGGCTATCCTCCTGAAGCGAGAGCTCTGCCAAGCTCGCTTCGGGCACCATCACGACTGCAGCATCCTCCAGGGCTTAGGGATTTGGACTTAGGATTTAGGGTTCGGGGCTTAGGATGTAGGATTTAGGCTTTAGGGTTTAGGGTTTAGGATTTAGTTTTTAGGGGCTAGGGTTTAGGGTTGGGGATGTAGGATTTAGGGTTTAGGTTTTAAGGTTTAGGATTTAGGCATTAGGGGCTAGGGTTTAGGGTTGAGGATGTAGGATTTAAGGTTTATAGGGTTTAGGATCTAGGTTTTAGGGTTTAGGATTTGGGGTTTAGGTGTAGGGTTCAGGGTTAAGGGTGTGGGATTTAGGCTTTAGGGTGTAGGGTTTAGGATTTAGGGTTTAGGGTTTAGGGCTTAGGCCTTACGGTATAGAGTATAGGGTTTAGGGGTTTGGTATAGGCTTTAGGTTTAGCGTATGGGTATATACATGAGTATATAAGGGGGTTCATAGGAAGGGTCTGTAGGGATACTAGGGAATCAAACGGAAAAATGGACAATCAAACGGAAACCAGGTGTGGGCTTTGAAGTTCAGGGTTCAGGGCTTATAGGGCTTGGGCTGTAGAAGGTGGGCCTCCCACAAACTGACCTTGAGCTCATGCCCCTGTAACCCCCGCCTTGTCCCTAAGCCTTACTTTCTCAAAACCTTAGCCCCTCTCCTTCAACAAGTAGCTAAACCCCATATAACCCCTATAGAATCCCTAATATTTAGGGACCCCAAACCCTAAACCCTGAACCTAGACCCACAAGGGTTTTTTCTCCTTCAACAAGTAGCTGAAGATGCCCTGTAAATAGTGCTGAGCGTCATCGGGCTCCAGCAGCCTGAACGGGAGAAGCAGCTAGAGGGTCAGGGCTTGGGGAGTGTAGAAGGATCAGGGTTTGCCTATGAGGGTCGGTTCTTACACACATTCACCAAAAATGTGGGAAATCTGCTAGAGTCTGACACGTCGGTTCTCCAAAACTTGGTCCCTTGGGAACTCCAAGGCTTGATACGGATTGAGGGTTGCAAGGGGATTGTTGAAGAAAGCCCAGACAATGAAGCCTCCCAAAATCTTTGCGCTGAGGTGGAACTTTTTTTGTTTTTGGGGTTTAGGGTTTAGAGAACTCCAGCTTGCTCTGGATGCTTGCTGGTCTGGGCCCTTGGGCTAGCAGGCTCTATCGCTGGTGTCGTCTGGCTATGACAAAAGCATCTTCAGCACTCCTGTCAGACTGCCTGAGGCTCGCTAACTACTGTCGAAGGGGTGGGAATACGCGAGCTCAAGGTATCGCTGCCCTTATGACTGCTGATCTTGCCTCCGGAACAAACTGCAACTGCAAAGCTGGGGCTCTCACTTCAGAAACCTCCATCGCATCTACGCATACCCAGAGACCTAGTCGCTCTAGCAAAAAAGGCGTGTGAAGTCGACTGTCCCCATGTTAAAGCAACGTATCGCTAAACAGTACGGAATACTCCTAAACATAAGCAACTGCAAACACTTCTTCAGTCTAAACAAAAACTCGATGCCTAAACTCATATGCCTTCGCACCCCCGAGCTGTCAATCCAGTATAGCTGCTGGGCTTCGTCAACCTCCACCTGAGCTTCAAAGTCAAGATTTGGGGTTTAGATTTCAGGCTTTGAGACTTATGGAGGAGATGGCGTGGGGTTGTGTTTTGCATGTCTGTTCAAAACCCACTTCGCAAGCACCTTTATAACTTAAGATATCAAAATGCTGTAGTGCCCGTTGTAAGGCAAGAAATGATGGTTGAAGGTTGCAGCCATCCACCATATTCATGCATTCGCCACAATCATGATCCTGTTTAGAGGTGAACTTGCATGGAGCCTGGCTTATTTTGCAGAGTTGCACTGGTCTGCACAGGTTCTACGTTCGACACATGCCTCTGTGTTTTACACTAAGTAGTCTATGACAGGGTTCAATTACAGGTCACGGCGGGGGTTTGGTTTCTATTTGTGGGATGCAGTCCACGATTGGTTCAAGCTTTCACCGTGTCTTGTCAGGTTGCCAAATTGGGAACCGCACATGGCTCCTGCACGAAGATTTGGCAAAAGCTGTTCAGAGATAAAATACGATGCTTCGTCCATCCTGAAGGTGCTAAACGCCTCGAAGGAGGTGAACAGTTGCATCCCAAACCCACCACATCCCACAACCTTCAAGCCCAAAAGAGACAGAAATTATATAGGGCCAAAGGACAAAATGCAAAATACGCTCCCCCCCCTCTCAAAACTCTGCTCAAAGCCCGACGCAAAACTCATGACATGGACCCTGTACCATTCCCATAAATCAGAGAGTTGAGGGTTTAGGGTTTAGAAACTTTTTGGCCATTACTAGACCCTGAGACCCTGCACCGTGTACCGTCGACTCAGCGTTTGAACCGATAACGATACTAACGTCTTGGTTCATAGCGTAGCTTTGGAACACATCCCTACATGTCAGTTTAAGGTTCATCTTTCCAGGCTTAAGTCTGGGGATTAGGGATTACGGTTTAGGTTTTAGTGTTTAGGGATTCGGGATTGGGGCGGAGGGTTTAGGGTTTCAGAATTAGGGTGTAGGTTATGCATTACGGTTTAGGTTCCAAAGTTTAGGGATTAGGGTTGTAACCTGTAGGGTGTAGGGATTAAGGTTTAAGGCTTGGAGTTCAGAGTGTAGGGATTAGGGTTCTTGGAGTTTCAGAGGGTTTGCCTTTTCTAGGGCGTGGGGTTCCGGGTTGCAAAGCCCTAGGATTCTCATGTCTTGACACCATATGAGATGAATATCTTTTGGAGTTGATCCATAAAAGAAGCCCAGCGTTTTAGGGCTGAAGCCTGGTGCAGCCTTGAACCCTGAGGGTTTAGGGTTTAGGGTGCAGGATTTAGGGTTTAGGGTTTAAACCTGCGGACCTACAGGCCTGAAACCCTGAAAACCCAAACCCAAACCCGCTGAAACACTAAGCCTTAACAAACCCACCAAGGCACCAAGTCCCAAACCCTAAAACGCAGAGACCCCACAAAGCCAAAACTGCTGAAACACCAAAACCCCAACCCTGAACCTAAAGCCCAAAGTCCTAACAGACTAGAAACCTAAATCCTACTTCGCTAAAATCAACACCCGGAAATTCTCCCGAAGTATTTGGGACCTGAAGACCCGTTTTTTGGTATATGGACCCCCAAACCCTAAAACCCTAAACCCTAAACCCTAAAACCCAAACAATAAACCCTAAAATCCTACCCTGCATGGGATATTTTCAGCTGAATAAACCGGCCTTGATTCCGGCGAAAGCCTTGGACATTAGTTTGGAGTTCAGAGTTTAGCGTGTATGACTAGGGTTTAGGGTTTAGGGTGTAGCGTTTGGGGTTAGAGTTGAGGGCTTAGGGTTTAGGGTTGGGGTTTAGGTTTTAGGGGTTTGGGTTTAGAGTAAAGGGTTTAGGGTGTATAGGGCTCATGATTTAGGGCTTAGGGCGTAGGGTTTAGGGTTGAGGGTTTAGGGTCAAGGGCTGAATTTTGGCTTGAAGGCTTCGGGTTGGGGGTTTAGGATACAGGATCTAGGAGTCGAGGGCTCATCGCAAGAAGGCCGAACCCTTCCTACTTGCTGGTGCTTAGTCTTCCTGGAGCTTAGTAGGGAATAAGGGAACTCCGTATTCCCTACTAACTCCCAGTATATAAGTAGAAGAAAAACATGATCTAGTTATGAGGCAAGTGGGTATATGAGAGTTTTTCACGTAGTCAAACAGGTATAGTTCCAAACACTACAGTCATCTCCCGTCCCCAGGTGGCTTTAATAATGATGCTGTTGTTACTACTAGTGCTCTTGTTCTTACTATTACCTGACCCTGAACCCTAAACCCTAAACCATTACCTCATTGTATATGTGGTTGCAACCTGGACAAAACTTGTGCGCTTCCCCTTCCTGAATTAGGAATTAAGATGCCTGGCTTGTCAAGAACTTCACTACGCTGCTTGGGATTCGGGTTTAGGGATTAGGGTTTAGGGATTAAGGTTTAGAGTTTAGGGATTAGGGTCTTACCCCAGGTCTCCCAGTTTACCTAAACAGTAGGCTACTGGGCTAGGCAACTATAGGGTGTATAGAACCTAGAACCCATTCCTTAGGCAACTGGAGCCCTAGGTTAGGCAAGCTTGAACATCTAGACCCTATACCTGCCGTACATCGAAACGACAAACGAGCAATGCCTCGAAATCTATGTACATCCCATTCTGACCCCAAATGCCTACATACATGGCTGAGGATGCAATCTTGAATCAGCTTGTATGTATCTCAGAAGTTCCAGACCTAGCAGGTACGGCCCTTTTGTGTTTTGCAATCGTCTACTCCGACGCGGCCAGGTTCCATAACCTCCCACTGGGGTTTAGGGTTTAGAGTGAAAACCCAAGACGAACACCTCAACCCGCGCCGTCCCTACAACAGCTGCTTTCCAGCATCCTGTTCTAACTCCAAATGTTTGACCAAACACTGGCTGAAGCCCTGAACCCAACTCTCTCACCCTGGAACATACATTGGCCTGTAAGTATATGATTATTGGGTACTTGGACCCTTAGGGGGTTGTAAAAAAAACACAACTCTAAGGCCTAAATCCCAAAGTTCAATCTCATTTAGGGCTTCGAGTTTAAGATTTAGGAACACTAAGTCCTATGTCAGTGACCCTCATCTAAGTGCAATACCCAAATACGAACTTGCTGTTGCTTAAGGGAGTTGGGGGAGCGCATTATGTACTACTCTAAAGGGTCACACTGGCATTATAGCCGGTACTAAATCCACCACTCCCCTCATCCGCAGAAAACATGGCAAAGGGCTTCTGCCGAAAGCTCGAGGACCTCAATGTTTGGCTTCACCTGGTCGGCAACACAAGAATGAACACAAGGAATTCGGTAACCCCAACTTTGTACAATTGCGTCAGGGTTGCCTATGACCTACGACACACCTTCTCTTGGTTTCTGCTCTTTGAGAGACCGTGTGCATAACCCCCAAGGAGCCTAAAAAGTACACCTACGACTGTGAGGTCTGTTCGAAGACCTAAACCCTAAAGCCCATAA